CTTGCAATCCAGTGCTAGTGGCTATTTTTCATATTACAGGATTTTTTTTCAGCAATAACTCCCTTACTTTTTGCTCTAGCTGTCCCCACATCACAATGCACATGTTATCATATTAATTTCCTCATATGAAAACTTAAGAGTACAAAAACAAAAACAAAATGTCTTTTCCCTTAAGCCTAATTACAATTTATCCTTTTTGCATAAAATTGAATTTCATCTCTCTTCTGTTTCTCCCAGAAATTATAAACTGATGAATTGGAATTTATGATTTTAACATGTAAATACTCACTGCTGTTGAGATTTCCTCCTGAAACGATATACCAGCACACACAGTAGCTCCGTCTATGGTACGTTCATTCTTCAAGGCTACTTCCCTAATTAATCCTCAGCGGAAAGAGGAGGGAGAGGGAAAAACAGTGCCCACACCTGCTAAAGGGGAGGGGTTGAGGATGCCAGTCAGGTGAGATGTGGTCAGGTGAAAATCATTTCACACACAGCACAAGCCTTTCCCTCCATCTTTTCTAGAACAGTCTTATAGTGTAAAAGCCAATGCATACTAACCCTGATGTGGGGATGGGCATTTTCTAGACCAAAAACTTGTCGAGATTTCATGGAAAAGAATAAAAAAGAACAGGATCCAGGTAAATGAGGGTACAATGAGAAAATAATATTGATGTTTTGTTTCTTTAGGTATTTTTATTTATTCCGAAGACAATGATTTTGCTACCCTAAACCTACAGGGCTGAAAGGGGGTAATCTCTAAGGCGGATACTTGTGGAAATGAGAGTGATTTTGAGAATTTTAATTTTTTCACCCTATTCTTTTAAATGGAAGGTCATTCAGAATTTACCCACTTTCCTCAAATGGTCAGTTTCAACCACCAAGTAAATATTTACTTAGACATCTCAGCATACAGTACCTGAATCTTGGAATAATTAGTACAGACGTCTTGACAGCATACGCAGAGTGCTTCAATTTGAAAGTGGTCACATGAGGGAGTACTGTTTACCATCTTTATGTTTCCTAAAATGGTAAGTTAGGGCATTTTTTTACTAGAACCCAGAGCACTCTTTACCGAGCTAAGTGATATAATGGGCCCTTGGTAATGATAAGTGACTAGAGACAGTGTATGAAATATCCATTACTGGATGTCAAAATTAGGGTGTTTTTGATCCTGGTGTTTACTTTTAAAAAAAGATGCCACTGACATCAACATATACCTGTTTGTCACCCTAAGAAACCTCCATAAATATGGCCTTTTAAAAATATTACCTATATGAAATTTTTTATAAAACTGAACAGAATCCCTTTCAGATATTAAAGGCAGTATTATATGGAAGAATTAAAAAAGTCAGATTATTATGGACTTGGAGAGTCATATAGCCCTGTTACCCCATTTAAAAACTTTCATTAATTTTTAGGACCCTCTCCTTGAGGGTGGAAATGGGGTAAAACTAGGTAAGGCACACATATGTCTCTTAGTTAAAAAATGAACAATTTCATTGTAAAATGTACCCTATAGTAGTCTTACTGAATTTAGAAGATGTCTCTCCTTTGTCTTCCTCTGTCCAATTTTAATAAGTTCAGCCGGTCTTTGGATGGAGTTGCACCAGCAATCTCAGAGCCCTGTTAACAGCAGAGACCACTGGAATAAAGAGAATAAGCAATACCAAAGCCAAGAGCAAGTGGTTCGGTGGGGTCTAGATGTGAAGAAATACATTCAACAGTAGCAGCTCTTAACCAGAAAAGCTGATTATGGCACAAGAAACGGCTTGCTTTTTGACATGATAAACCCCAAATGGGAAATAGGAATTTCTCTCTGCGTTCCTTCTTTCCTTTCTCTTTCTCAAAGCTAAATATGTATTACTCGACAATGAAGAAAACACAAGAGGATTTAGACATGTTTAGAAACTAAGCCAACCTGAGCAATTCAAATACTAATTTTGACAGGTGCAACTGCATATGTGATAAATACAGAATGCCAAGAAATTCTATCCAACCAAATAAAAGAAAGTAAATCCCTTAATTTTAGGTTCCAGTGCAGTTGTCTCATATTTAAACAAAACCTGTTTGTTAAACATATGCCCAACTGGGAATTGAGAAGAATGTAAGAGCTTATATAAAATAAGAATTTTAAACGACTGCCACTGCACTGAAGTTCTGCAGCGTATTGGTACAGTCTGCCTCTCAGAAGTTATACCAATTTATCTTCTTTCTTCAGTAAGAACGATAAGTATGTTCAGTTATTTTCCCTTTTAGCTTTTGGTAGTTTTTGTTAATCCGATAGGGGAAACATTCATTTTAATTTGCATTTAGTGGCTACTAATAAGGTTGGATAGTTTTAAAATACTTAAGATGTTCAAATACCAAGTGTGCCCAAAAAGTACACACATTTTGAGAAAGGAAAAAACTGGATTAAAATTATAATACTCAATACGTATCACTGACAAAAGCTGAACCCATGTCAGGTTTGACTTCTGCAGTGACAAGAGGTGCTCAAAGAGGTTACTGTCCCTCGGTGTCCAGACACGCTCACCGAAGTGTCCACTTGCATTGCTGCACATGTTTCAATTTCTTCCCAAGAAAATCAGCCAGGGTAGCCGATTTGGTACGGTACAGCACATTCTTTAGGGATCCCCTTAGGGAGATGTCAAGAGGTGCTAAGTCAGGACAACATAAATGAAACTGAAACTTAGCCAGTATCTCTTTGTTCTATCCATTGACCTGGCAAATTCTCATCAAGACAAAACTCACAACTTGGTGTAAGTGCACCTTGGATCAGGTCAGCTTTGTTCAGTGCGTGTAATAATGGTGGGATGAAAATTCCCCTTTTGTTGTTTTAGGGATGCCCTGCATGCTTGCTCCGCTCACTCCTCTCACGTGCACATGGTTTAGCCAACCGAATTCTGAGGTGAGTGTGCAAACCGCCCCAACACCATGGCAGAAGGAGCAGGACTGACTGCTGGGTGAGGCCTCCTGGATCTTCCACTGTGCACATCATGCACAGTACCCTGCCTCCCAAACTTACCACCCATGCATGCAATTGCTAGGCGTGTAGGTGTGTTGGCAGTTCAATTGCAGTCACTTCCCCATCGTTGTACTTTTACAATATTCTCAAATTTCAAATATCACGTCAGAATGGTCTTGAGCTCCTTTAACAACCGCTTTCGCCATTTTCTTTGTCCTGCCTGTCACATGATGACATTAGTGTTCATTTGATAAACGCCATCTTTTGAGCAAATGTCATATTGCATGTTGCTATGATAACTCAACTTCAAAAAGTAATAAACAGATAACATCTCTTAAAGTGTGTACACCTTTGTTTGGCACTACCCCCCACATCTTCCTTTGAAAATTGCTCGTTTTCCTACTGGCATTTAACTTATTTGTGACTGATATTCTAGAGCTCTTACAAGAGTTTTGTTTTATATATGTACATATTTTCCAGTCTGTGCTGTGTCTTTGGTTTGATTTTTGGGTTTTTAAATCTTATTTTAACCCTTATTGGTTTGAGTTTTGTTTACATGTGTAACAGGGCATTTGCTACACTGACGTCTACTATTTATTCCTAACATCTTCTTAGTTTCTATTTTTATGTTTATTTACTTGGAATCTATTTTGACATCAAGTGGGAATATTAACAATCCTCTTAGCCCTTTCTGCTACGGGATTAGCCAGTTTTCTCAAGACTATTTATTGAATTCTATATGCAGTAGCACCTCCTTAGGTGACCACCTCATGTTGACCTAATTTTCCCACGTTAGACAGGCACCCCAAGTGTGTACAAGTCCAGAAGGCCTAGTTCCTTATGTTGACCAGTTTGTTACTGTCCTTTGGGTAGTCAGCTTATAGAGGTTCTACTGCATTTTTATGCATTTCATTTAAAATGCTGTTTTTATCACATGCTGCATTTTCACACTATTTCCCTCACTTCCAAGATGTACTTTTTAAAGAATTCACAGTTTCTGGCATTAGCATTTATCAGTCACTAGAGAAGAGATGCATCATGGGTGGCATGGCCTGTGTGTGGGAGGGCACAGACTGGTGAAGACACCGCAGGGGAATACCGCTATCTGAACTAGTGGGACCATGTCAGTTGAAGTTTATTTTTATTTGGATCTGCAATTAACTCTTAAATTCTTCACAATGTATACCAAAACGCAGCCTTCAAGAAAGCACTGTGTATGTTTTGAATTGCCTGCTACCTGCCGGAGGATACCATAGATCTCCCACAGATAGATCGTTAAATTACAAGAGGGTGGTAAGGCCAGTTCATGCATGGTGAACAACTACCGCTCAGCAACACTGGGAAGTTCACATGCTGGTTGACTTTCAGTCCTCTGTTAAGTGGATATTCTGAGAACAACACATTTTTAATATAACTCCTTCCTCCCTGCCAAAAGGTACTAGAAACATCACGACGAACCTTAAGAATCAATGAGGCTACTAGACATTTTAAAAACATGAAGCTTTAAGTTTCTGAGTGAAAAGTTTTTAAGAAGAGATTTTGTAGTATCAGAAGACACTTTTACTCTCTCTGACAGGCTTCTTTTCCTAAAGACTTTCTTTCCCTCTGAAATCTATCAATGGTCCTTCTTTACCATTATTTCCTACGAGGACATTGCTTTTGACCCTGTTTTCTGAGCTGCTCCAGCTTCCTCAGAATGTGTTATCTCCTTAAGATCTAATTTGTGTAACTACAGTGTATCCTGACTGAAGGATATTAACAGAATTAGAGCATCTTCTAAATTAAATGACAAAATATTCTAGGGCAGATAGAAAAAAAATAATTATATTGTGGTTATTTTATTTTACAAATAGATAAAAGAAAGCAAGACAATATACTATAGTTGGCAAGGAAAGATTTTTAACATATTTAAGTGACAATTTATTCACACATATACATAAAGGCTCATTATACATTGGGAAAGGTTTATCAGAAAGGACTTTTTTTTTTTTTTTGAGTTGCTTTTTATTGCAAGGGAATAAATGTGCTATGGTTCCTTTTAAAATAATTTTAAGTAAAGATACGCTTTCATGACAGTAGAAAATAAATCGATTCACTTACCTACCAAAGCAATAAAATGTTGATGTTACTTCCGAAGTTAAACATACCTGGCAATTCTTAACTACTTTCCAAAAAGACTAAGGAGCTAGGTAAAAAAGGGAGGCTTTTCCAGCTTCCAAATGATCAGGTAGAAAATGCAAGCCATCAGCTACTGAATTAGTAATAGCAAACTCCTATCCTATTTCATATTAGGTACTGTACGTAATTTATACACCACAATTCTACCTTTAACCAATAAATGAGTTCTGTTTAACCATTATAAACTGTTAGGTCATGCTGACTATTCTTTTAATCGTTTTAGGTAAGTAATTATAGATACAACAATATAAATGTTGATTTCCTAGATTTGACGATTGCTAAAAAGAGTTTTCAGAACTACATTAGATACTAATGATAGACCTACAGAGGCTAATTTTAAAGTGCCTAATGGGGCTTAATAAAACCTGCAGAAGCCTCAGCCTCTGCAATATCATCATAAGTTAGTAGCTTTATAAATCATAAACATTAATATGGGACAATCTAAGAAAAAACTCTTCAGGTGGCATCCAGTTTCTTATAGGCTTCCTCAATGAGCGTCACCATGTTCTTAATCTGGGAGGAATTATGAAGAACATCCAAGTCCTTTAGAAGAGCATTCTGGTTTGGAATTAGTGACAGAATTTCTTTCTGTGGATGAGATAGCATAATTAGTTTTTAACAATTTGAAAAAAAATCAGAGTTATTTAGAAAGAATGGTACCCACCACCCAGATTCAATAATCATCAGCTTGTGGCCATTCTTTTTTCTTATCTTTTTTTCTCTCCCCGTCCTGTCTTCCCCTCTCACCACTGGAGGATGACAGGAAAATTGTTAAACTGCTTTGTGAGCTTTTCACTGGTGCGAACATTTACACTACAACATATAGTGGGTCCTTTGAAGAAAGCTCAATTACCAGTGTGGGATTTACTATAAATAAGACAGAGGTATTTTATAAGGAGTTCTATGTTATTGTCAGAAGCATAAACAAAAGCAACTGTCAATATTTACTTCAAGAAATGTGGCTTACAATTCTGACTATATAAAGTTATAAAGATAAATGAACAAGGTACACCCAGCATTGTCTGTAATACAAAGAATTATTTCCATCAGTAGTTTACAAATTATATTATGATACATCTGTGTAATAGAATGTTAAACAGCTATTAACAAACATAAGAGCTCTGTCTGAACTGACAAAGACATTTACTATACAATCAAATAAAAGAAGGAATTTGCCATTTATATGAGGATTCCATTTACACAAAGAAAACAAACAGGGTGTAATGCTTTTATACATATGCATGCATAACCGGTGATAGCAGGCTGACTTTGTCTTCTTGTTCTTTTCTCTATTACCCATTCCAGATATTGAGTTTTTTATGAATTGAAGGTTTGTGTAACCCTGCATTAAGTTTATCAGTGCCACTTTTCTAAGACCATGTGCTTACTGCGTGTCTCTGTCACATTTTGGTAATTCTGACAATATTTCAAACTACTGTATTATTTTATCTGTTCTGGTGATCTATGAGCAGTGCTACTGTTGTAACTGTTTTAAGATGACATGAACTGCACCCCTGGATGATGGCAAACTTAACCGTTGTGTGTGTTCTGACTACACCACCGACTGGCTCTTTGCCTCTTTCTCATCCTCTCTTCAGGCCTCCCTGTTTGCTGAGGCAACAATGTTGCAATGAGGCCAAGAAATAACAATACAACGGCCTCTGAGTGTTCACGAAAGAAAGTTGCCATATCTTTCACTTTGAATCAAAAGCTACAAGTGATTAAGCTCAATGAGAAAGGTATGTTGAAAGTCAAGATGGGGTAAAAGCCAGGCTTGTGGCACCAAACAGCCAACTTGAGAATACTAAGAAAAAGTTCTTGAAGACTTTTCTTGTTTTGTTTTGTTTTAAGAGCTAGGTCTGGCTCTGTCAACTGAGGCTGGAGTGCAGTGGCCCAATCACAGCTCCCTGTAACCTATAATTCTTGGGTTCAAGATCCTTTCACCTTAGTCTCCAAGTAGCTGGGACTATAAGGTGCATGCCACCATGCTTGGCTAATGTTTTTAAAAATATTTTTTTGTGGACACAGGTCTTTTTATGTATGCCAGGCTTGCCTTGAAATCCAGGCCTCAAGCAATCCTCCTGCCTTGGCCTTCCGTAGTTAGGATTATAGCAGTGAGTGACTCTGCTCCTGGCTGGTTTGAGAGGATTGACTCCAATTTTGAAAGAAGTTCTATTGTGGATAAAATGCTATCAAAGAACAATGCATGCTACGGAGAAATCCTTCATGAAAGGAAGAGTAAATTCATACAGCCACCCCAACCTTCAGCAACCACTACTGTAATCAGTCAAAAGCCATCAACATCAAGGCAAGGGCCTCCACCTGTCAAAAATACTATGACTCACTGAAGGCTCTGCTGATCATTAGCAATGCAGTATTTTTTAAATTAAGGTATGAACACTGTTTAGAGATAATGCTGCTGCACACTTACTAGACTACAGTATAATGTAAACAGAACTTTTACATGTGCTGGGAAACGAGAAAATTCGTGTGACTCATTTTATTGTAGTGGTTTGGAGCTAAACCCATAATATCTCTGAGATATGCCTGTAGTCAGTATGGTGAATAGGTACTTACCTGAAGTGTGGGTGCTTTGAGACTTTTCTGAGAAAGTTCTGGAAGACAGAGTACACTACCACTATCCATTTGAAACACCTACAATAGAAAAAGAAAGCTACAGATTCTTTCAAAAGGCCAATATCCCTTATCTTATACTCAAAAATTGTATTAAAAATTATATCCAAATTTCAAAAACACATTTTAAAACTATTACTTGTTTTAGTGTCTTCTCTTCCTCTTCTACCTCACTTTCCAGAATTTCAATTTTGTTCTTTAGGCTCTAAATATCCTCAGTCATTGATTCTGCAGTTCCTACCATTTTTTCTATTTCTTCCTGAGTTAGAAAGAAAAAATTAGTATTTCAAATTACATATATTATTGAACTAAACCATAACAGATACTGTTATACATTTTAAAAACCTGACATATTGGGGGGCACTTGTGGCTCAGTGAGTAGGGTGCTGGCCCCATATACTGAGGGTGGTGGGTTTGAACCCAGACCCGGCCAAAATGCAACAAAAAATAGCCGGGTGTTGTGGCTGGCGCCTATATATCCAGCTACTTGGGAGGCTGAGGCAAGAGAATCGCTTGACCCCAGGAGTTGGAGGTTGCTATGAGCTGTGACTCTAGAGCACTCTACAGTGGGTGATAAAAAAAAAATACCTGACATATTAAAACATTTTTGGAATAAACTAGTGAAATCTATTTTTGTTTTTCTTCCTTAATATTTTCCTTGGGACAGATTCTCATTCTGTCACCCTCATAGCTCACGGCAACCTCCAACTCTTGGGCTCAAGCAGTCTTCTCGCCTTAGCAGCCCAAGTAGCTGGGATTACAGGCACCACCATAATGCCCAGCTAGTTTTTCTATTTTTTGTAGAAATGGGTCTTGCTGTTGCTCGGTCTGGTCTTGAACTCCTGAGCTCAAGCAATCCACCTGTGTCATCCTCCCAAAGTGCTAGAATATAAGCATGAGCCACTAAGCCCGGCTACTTTTGTTTTTCTTTCAAAAACAGACTTCATGGCAAGCTGCTTTGCAAATATAACAGTTAATGCATCATCAGGAAACTTAATTTCCTGGAGATAAACCCCAGGCACATAAATGCTTCCTTAAAAACTGCCAAAGCTGCTAGTTAGTATCAGAGATCCTGGAAGACCCTGTGTGAATCCAGAAGAGCCCGGAGTGAGTTAAAGCAAATACAGAAGTCTTCCTGAGGTAGCAGAGAAGCTCTAACATTTTTTCATTTATTTCAGAACATTTGATGGCCTGCTATTTGAATTTGTCAAAAGAAGCAATGCTGGACATTAGGGCAAAGATAGTAGTAATAAATAATAATGACAGTTTGCCACACTAAAGTAATGTATTAATATAATTTATAGGGGAAGACAAAAAGAAAATGAGAAATCAATGAAATGAGTACAGTGACAGGGATTTGCTCTTTGTAGGCCAACTATAGAACTGGCTAGCTTCCAGTTTGTAATTTAGTACTACATTGCTTTCAAATCTAGACCTAGAGACAATCAATGCTAACACTGCACCCAAAGGACCAGAAAGCGGTGAATAAGCCACACGGAAGATATACACAAGTAATAAGTTTTAAGTACTGCTCACAACATGATTGATGCTGTATCTATGTTATTCTCCAAATACTGACAGTAAAATTATTTGGTATATATGGTAACTATAGTAGTCTTCTTTAAGAAATATATTTTGGCTTCTAAATGACCAAGTTTTTTTGAAAAGGGTACTAGCAGTAGTCAGCAACTGCCCATGGAAAGTTTTTGAATAGTCCAAGAACTATAAATGGTTTGTACACTTTTAAAGGGTGTTCAAAATCTAAAATAAAACAAAGTATTCAACAGAGACCATACGTAGTTCACAAAGGCCAAAATATTTATTGTTTGGCCCTTTACAAGAAGAGTGTGGTAATCATGGAGTGGCTCACTAGAATGTAAACTCCATGGAGAAAAAGACTTTGTTTTAAATTATTATTACAGAAAATTGCAGGCCAGGCATGGTGACCTGTAATTGTAGCACTCTGGGAGGCTGAGGTGGGAAGGTCACTTGAGGTCAGGAATTCAAGACCAATTGTGAGCAAAAGTAAGACTGTGTCTCTACAAAAAGTAGAAAAATTAGTGGGGATGGTAGTGGGTGCCTATAGTCCCAGCTTCTCTGGAGGCTGAGGCAGGAAGATAGCTTGAACCCAGGAGTTTAAGATGGCGGTGAGCTATGATTACACCATTGCAGTCTAGCTGCAGTGACGGAGCAAGACCCTGTCTTAAAATAAATAAATAAATAAAGCAAACATATATAAGAGATTATCATGAACTTTCCTGCATCCATCACCCAGTTGCAATCATCAACTCATGCTCATCTGGTTCCACTTCTAACTCCATCCACTTCTCTTTCTCCTGTACTCTTTTGAAGTCAATCTTAGATCTCTTATCATTTTATCTATAACTATTTCAGAATATAGCTCTAAAGGGCTTGATAAAATAAGACTACAATATCATTATCACTTTAAAAAAACTCAGTAAATTACTTAATATCAAGTATATAGTATTTACCGTTCTGCCTTTCTCCAGAATTGGAATGTTTTAGCATTTTATATGAATCAAGTTCCAAATTGGTTGTGACTGGTTGACATGTCTTTTAAGTCTCTTCTCATCTATAGGTTTCCACTCCAATTTTTTCGGTTCCTTGCGATTTATCTGTGCAGACCATAGTTTGCTGAATTTTGTGGACTGCATTCCCTGGGGAAGTTTAACCTGTTCCTCACCTCTGCATTTTCTGTGTATTGGCTATTGGATCTAAAAATGGATCACAGTCCAGTACAAATTTAAAGTAAACCACATACCTTAGTTTCTCCTGGCTGCTGTACCACAAACTTGACTTAAAACAATAGAAATTTATGCTATCACTGTTCTAGAGGGCAGAAGTCCAAAACCAAGGTGTTGGCAGGGCCACGAGCCCTCCCAAGACAGTACGGAAGAATGCTTTCTTGTCTCCTCCAGCTTTTAATGGTTGTCCACATTCCTTATAACTAACATTTCTGCCTTTGTCTTCACATGGTCTTTGCCTCTGCGCCTTCTCTTGTCCCTACACTTGTCATTGGATTTAGGGTCCATTCTTAAGAATCCAGGATAATCTCACTGTGAGATCTGAAGTGAAAACTTAACTTTATCTGCCAAAACCCTTTTCCAAATAAGGTCACATTCACTGGTTTCGGAGGTTAGGACTGAGAGTTGTTCTTACAGTGGCCACAGTGCAACTTGACACAGAGGGGGATGAATAAGAGAACTGAATAAAGAGTTAAATATAACAGGATTAAAATTTTTCATTGCAAGATTTGTTTTGCTCCATTGCTTTGCTTTTCTTCTTTGGGTATTACTACAATGCTCACGCTTTATCTTCTTTGCTGAATTCTTGTATTTGTCTCTTTCCCTCAATTCCTTTTCAAATGTTTGTCTTTCTGACTGTGAAAATTTCCTCCTTATCATTCATTTATCACAAGCATTATCTGGTATGTTCATTTTCTCTAGTGTTTCTGCACAGCTAAAGGACTTTTCTGTCTCTTTCCTAAATTCTATAACTTCATTTATTCCTATTTCTAATACCATTTATGTTTTTTCCATATTTTCTACTATTTTTATGAATTTCAGCTCATTTGAGAAGTTAGATTAGTTCATCTATTTTGTGCACATGTCTTTTTTGGCATGCTTTTGTTGTATGTTGGAATGTTATTTTTGGTCCTTATTATCACATTTTCTTATACTAATTCTGATTTTGAAATCTTGCGGGCCCTTTTTATGATAAGATCAAGGGAGATTAACAACTATGGCTCAGCAGTTCTAATGCTGTCTTCCCCTAGAATCCCTCAGAGGCTCTGCTCACTGCTGCCTTTCCTTAGCACCAACACTGAGTGAGAGCTCAAGGACAATGGTGTTGAATGAATCAAACTTCCATTACTGTTACAGGTTTTGGGAAATCGCCACCAACCATAATTCTACACTGCAATGGAAAAAACTCAGTGGTTCTAAGTAAGTCACAAAGAAGAAAGTTTATTAATACAGAGTTTACAAATTGTTGCTCAAATATACTCTTACACCAATGAAAACTTTCTTGCTCAAAATACCAATGGTGCCTCCACTGGGTAACTAACTACCAAGCAAATGATAGAGTGTATTCGTTTCTGTCCCATGGAGGTCCCATTATAGCTATAAACCAAAAATGCTTCTCAGTATTACAAAAAAATCACACTACCATTTACTATTTCAGAACACCTTTGACTGATTTGTAGGAATGTTAAATGCTAAAAAAATTCACCATTATTATATCTTAAAGCCTTTAAAAATAACCTACATTCATGTCATATTAGTGTTTAGTAAGTTGAAAAGACAGTGCCAATACTGCACAGATGACTGAAAAAGCATAACATTGGGATGGGAATTAAATATGACACTATGAATAAAATGAAGTAACAAGCAGAAAATACCACCCTATTAATTTACATGTATGATAAAATATATAAAGATTTATTGCTCCGAAACCTATCCCTTCAAATTTATTCTCAATTCTATGGAAAAAGTAGAATGAAATATTTGTGAACTCTGAATTATTAGAAATTTGGAGAACATATTCTTTGCAGAAAATACTACTACCCTGCACTTACTAAGTTTCTAATAAAAACCTAAGCACCACTTGCACAAACTAATTCAAAATGTCTAAGGGATATGTGGTCCAATTTGTTTTAGTTGTTCCAGACATCTACTAATTAAAAGTCTGAAGTTAATCATGACAGCTAATGTTATTTCCCATTATCTTCTGTAGGATGCAACATAGCATGATGATCAATAATCACACGCTAAAGTTAGACTGACAAGATTGACATCTCAATTTTAAGCAATGTGTCTAAGCCTCAATTAGAAATAGCAATAGGTCTTTTTTCCCACATTTATAAAGTGAGAATAATTTAGGTCATAGAGTCATAGTGAGAATTAAGGGATAGAACTCTAAAGTACTTAGAATAGTGCCTGGCATGCAGGAAGTCCTAATACTTAGAACAACAATGGGGATGATTAAGTTTTCTTGCCATCTACAGAACAGAAAAACTACTAGGTTTTGAAATTCCACAGCATTTAGTGACAAGTTCCTATAACTTGATAATTAAAAATACTAATTTAGTTCAGTTACAGTCGGATGAAAAAAATCTGATGCTACTTAACCATAAATATATTAGAAATACTTCAACTTTAGAGGCCCAAAGTTCAGACATAGTTTTTTTTTTTTTGATTAAAAAAATAATAATTTAATGAAAAACCTGGTATTTATGCTGAAAGAGTATCATGATATTTTGCAAACTTTTCGGCCTCTTCCCCTTTCCACACACTCTGCAATCTGTGGATTCCCTGTTCAAATTTCATACCTGCAGTAATGCCAGACCTTCTTCGTTATCTTGCTCCCGTGCCCTTTCCACATCCAGCAGACTTGACACGTGAGTTAAATCCTTCAGCTTTTCAGGAGGGACTTCCAGGGTTTCACAAAATTGTAGCAATCTTAAGGATAGAATACAACACAATTATTTTGTTTTACTTTCGAGTACCATTATTATTATTATTATTATTATTTTTTTTTTTTTTGGAGACAGAGTCACACTATGTCACCCTAGGTAGAGTGCTGTGGCATCACGGCTCATAGCAACCTCAAACTCTTGGGCTTAAGTGATTCTCTTGCCTCAGCCTCCCAAGTAGCTGGGACTACAGGTGCCTGCCACAATGCCTAGCTATTTTTTTTTTTTTTTTGGTGTTGTTAAAGTTGTCATTGTTGTTTAGCAGGCCTGGGCTGGGTTCAAATGCACCAGCCCCAGTACATGTGGCTGCTGCCCTAATCACTGAACATCGGATGCCAAGCACCATTAGTGTTATTTTTATTTTGAGACAGTTCTCATTTTCTTCTTGTCCTCATATTCCTAAGGGTACAACATTCTTTTACTAACAGTGGCAGACCATGGTAGTAGGTCCCCTCTCCACAAAAGCCTGATAAATCAACATTTAACCTTTCAATTTATGAAGATTTCCCTCAAATTATGGGGTACTAGGCTGCTTTATAAAAGAAAATTTTCTGGGAGGCACCTGTGGCTCAAAGGACTAGGGTGCTGGCCCCATATGCTGGAGGTGGAAGGTTCAAAACCAGCCCCAGCCAAAAACTGCAAAAAAAAATTTTTTTTCTATTTTATACATTAGGAAATTATTGATATACATTTTTTAAAATAAAACTGTCTTTGCATCTTTTATGTGTTTCTTGGACTACTGAAACACATATGTGAATCAATTACAAGGTATGACAATTAAGTGCCACATACCTCATTGCTGAATATCATTATGGTCACCAGATGGCCAAGGGGAGTAAGGTGACTACAGTGACATGCAGCAATGAAGTGTGTGGCACTTTTTCTAGAATGAGTTCACAAACTTTATTGTCAGACATCGTATCACGAATTGTTTGGTAAGAGACAGAACACTAGTCTAGAAGTCTTGAGTATGCCCCTGAGTTGCTGTGTTAGATAATATGACCAATCAAAAGGAAGTCTTACACTAATTTCTAAATGATTTTAAAGAAAACTGAGTTCCATAGAGTTTAATGCAAATAAAACACTAAGACTGAAGTGCTTTGTTCTAAATACATTCATATTCTATTAATATGAATGTATTTAATATTAAAGTTAAAAAATTTTCCTATAAATTTGAGTTTAGATCATTAGCAGAAACTGATCTATTTCTACCTTTGCATCCAGCATAAAGCAAGAGAGTTTTCTCAGATTTGATTGTTGAATTCTGTGAGGAAAAAAGTCAAGAAAAACTAAATTGAAGGGCCGCATCTCTGGGTTTTACAAGTTCTAGTAGTACGTAAGATTTGAAGAAATATGAACAACAATGGAACCTACTATCCCATTTCTGGGATCTTGTTGAAAGTCTTTATTTCTGTAAAGAAAAAGGGAGCACAAACTCTGCAAATCCTAATTATTCACTTTAAACTGTTGAGACAAACTCCAGTGATCCAGAAAAACATTATTAGATAATCATATTTAAGCAAAAACAATTTGTTTACATGAGTCTTCCTAAGAGGGATAAATTTTTTTTAACTAAAATAAAAATTTTATTTATTAAATATCTTCTAAATGCTTATTAAACCAATTATGTGCAAGGTCGTTCACTGTTTCAAATGTTCTACATAATGGTTGTTTTCCAGAAATCTCACAAACTTTTTTTTTTTTTTTTACAGAGCATAAAGCTGTCCCCCTGGGTAGAGTGCTGTGGCATCACAGCTCACAGCAACCTCCAACACCTGGGCTCAAGCGAGTCTCCTGCCTCAGCCTCCCAAGTAGCTGGGACCACAGATGCCTGCCACAATGCCTGGCTATTTTTTGGTTGCAGCCATCATTGTTGTTTGGCGGGCCCGGGCTGGATTCGAACCCGCCACCTTGGGTGTACATGTCTGGCGCCTTAGCCACTTGAGCCACAGGCACCAAGCCTCACAAACTCTTCAGAAGCTAAAACGTTAAATGGCCAATGGCCCATCTATCAATTATACCCATGGTAGCTCCTGCCACAAAAGCAGTCCAATAGTTATGTTACCTAATTTGGGCCAATCTGAGACCATCTCTCAGAATTTTCTAACTGTAACAAGGGGATGACAGTTTTCTTTTTCCTCTTTCTTCACAAGGCTGAAACAATATATATAAAGAAATTGTCTGTACACATCTATAATCCTAATCTAGTGAGAACTGAAAACAAAATGAACTAAAAGAATGACACCAACACTCAGACAAAAGCAGAGACGACACTAATATATGACAATGAGTTCTCATGTTAATTATCAATTTCGGAGATACTAGGTTAAACAAAATGAAAAAAATTTATTTATTGCAGGATTTCTTATAGGCAAATGTATCCAAACATAACTCACCACAGACCACTTCTATTCATAGAGTATCTTTTTATTAACTAACTTTTTTTTCTGAGATACTGTCTAGCTCTATTGCTCAGGCTAGACACAGTGGCACAATCATAGCTCACTCTAGCCTTGAACTCCGACCTCAAGCAGGCTTCCTACTTCAGTCTTTCAAGTAGCCGGGACTACAGGCACTTACCACCATGCCTGGCTAATTTTTCTTATTTTTTTGAGAGATAGAGCTGGTCGGGAGCTGATGGCCTCACTCACTCTTCCTGCCGTGGCCTCCCAAAATGTTGTGGTTACAGGAATCAGTCACTACATCCAGCCTAGAGTTTCTTTAAAAATAAGTGTTTTAAATATGCTTTGAGAAATGCTGATATAGAAAAATTAATTCAGAGGTTCCAATTAGGATCAGTTTGCTAATGCTATAATCTGCTATATGAGTAGAATTAACAATATCTCAACTTATGGTTACTTTGGGAACTAAAGAATACAAATTGTGAAAGTAAAAGTGAGGAGGAAGCAGGCAGACCTTGAATTATGTATCTGTACAGCTGCTACATGAGAAAACGAATGCCCATTGGATGACTATAATCTGTTCTGATGGCCCAGAGTGATCACAAGAACAGCAGCTATTATGTAGTGTAAATATTCTCATTCGTACACTAGCCTAATTTGTCCTATATTTAAAGAACCTAAACAGTTACACTTTCATTTTACCTGTATTGACTTATTTATTATTGTTTAATACTCTCCTTCTTTAACATTAGGCTGTCATACCTTTAAGTTGTATAAGCCTATTTCTAGCACTCTTTTTCTTTCTTTCTTTTTTTTTTGAGACAGTCTCAACTCTGTGATGGAGGCTTGTGTGCAATGGACTCAGGCCAGCTCACAGCAACCTCAAACTCCTGGGCTCAAGCAAGCAATCCTCCTGCTTCAGTCTCCTGAGTAGCTGGGACTACAGGCTATTAAAAACATCCATGGCTAAGTTTTCTGTGGAGACAGGGTCTTGATTTGCTTAGACTGACCTCGAACTCCTACCGCAAGCTATCCTTCTGCCTCAGCCTCCTAGAGCACTAAGATTATAGCCTGAGCCATCGTGCCCGGCCTCTAACAGTCTTTTCTTTAATCTGCCCGACATCACTCAACAAACTCCTTCCCTCTACCTCTTCCCATCCCACTCTATTTTGCTACTATGGGATGAAAATTATACTTAAAGACAAAGTAAACAGAATTTGTGCTCAAAGAATTTCACCAAAATATGCAACAAACGTTTCTAGGTAAACCTAAAAGAGAGATGAAGAGCATTCTTTTCTAAAGAAGTTGTGTAAATACTAGAGAAAAGTCAGGCCAGGCACAGTGGCTCAGGCCTAATAATCCTAACACTCTGGGAGGCTGAGGAGGGTGGATTGCCTGAGTTCGGGAGTCTGAGACCAGCCTAAGCAAGAGCAAGACCTTGTCTCTAAAAATAAAATAGCTGGGTATTGTGGTGGGCACCTGTAGTCTCAGCTACCATGGAGGCTGAGGGAAGAGAATTGCTTTGAGCCCAAGAGTTTGAGGTTGCTGTGAGCTATAATGTCACAGCACTCTATCAAGGGCAAAAATTAAGACTCTGTCTCACACACACACACAGAAAAAAAGAAAGAAAGAAAATACTAGACAAAAGTAGTTGTTGAAAATCACGGGCAGTGATTTTTTAAGAACATTTGAAATCTCCCTCGGTGACTTACTACAAGGTAGAGAGCAGTAATATGTTGAAAAATTATACTTGTTACTTGTACAAGTAATGTAAGACAATATGAAGTAAAGTAGAAACATACCAAGAAGATAATACTAGAGAAGAGTGGTAAACTGTTAACTTCAAATCGTTAAGAATGAAGTTAAAGGGAGTTAAAATTGATAAAATATTTTTCAAATCCTGCTACAGAAGAGTAAACTGTAGAAATAGGTATTTTATGATTGTCAGGCTTTTTTAAAAATAAATTTTCTGAAATTTATTTCAGAAATGCATGCAGCAGCAGTTTAGAAAAGAGAAGAACACATATTTCTGAATTGCTCGTCTTCTTAAAAAAAATGAAAAACTTTTATTCCACAAGTGTTTGTTTTGGCAACACAAGAATAAGACAGATTTTTAAAAATTATGTTCTAACCATTTCACGTTACATAACTATTATTACCTTTTTTTCAGTAAGTTGAGATGATACTGTATTTCTTCTTTTTCTCTCTTACTATTACTCAAAATTGTTCTAGAGAAGAAAAAAAGATTGAGTACATAGTTAATAATAGTAAATAATAGTAAATAATCTATGCACTTTTTCTCACTTATTTCTCTCATTAGCCAGGCAGAATCAATCACTCTTCCTATTATATTAAACATATTTTAAGCAGAGGCACAATGAAAAATAATTTTTTTTTTTTTTTAACCACATTGTGTTGTAATTTATATGCCTGGCTCTTCCAATTGAATTCTGTTCCACCATGGTAGAATTCTAACTTTCTTTGTATCCTATCACGGCAGCTTCTATATAAAGCGTGACTTTGAATTTACGAGCCCCTACTTATAGGACATGTTAAAATTTTATAGATAATAGGTGGGCCATATACACTTGCTTTTTATTTCACTGATGGAATCCCAAGTTTTTAAAATTAACAAAGACTTTTTTGCTGCCAGGCATATGCCACTTTAGGCATTAAATATGTTACTTCTGAAATAGAAAAATATTCTATCACCTTAAAATAAGTAATGTTACAATGTCCATAGGAAACATATAATGAGGAATCGACCATAAGAATGAAATAAAAACATTTTATACTTACATTATTACTGATTCCATTATTGTTTGCAAATGTTCTCTGCTACTCTTTGAAAGTGGTTGCCAGGTTTTCCTTTTGTTGGGTGCTATCTTTATCTGTTTTATATTAGTATGCTTTGTTTGTCCTGTCATCCGTAACAGAAAAAATTCTAATCAATCTAGAGAGTTTGCATGCTTTTACTTAAAAAGTAATTTTTTAATCTAAAAATGTATAGAATTATGAGAACAAATTACGGCTCTCTACATACTGTTTAATTTACTTTTTATTACACTGCTATAACATGCTACCTGTTGAATATAAATGGGGCATCTATTGTTACATTAGCCAAAATACTAAGTGATATTGCAATACAAACCCCAAATAAATAATTTTAAATGAAGAACCAAGCTATAATTACTCAAAGTTTCATTCTTGGAAATTACCTGAACTCTCTAATAATCTAACTGAGAAGATTAGAAAACTATTTCCACCAAATGTTGGGTGGCAAATGGGACAAAACAGACTAATCAAGCCACAAACAGACTGAGTGTTGCACTGTTCTACTTACAAGGGATACACAAAGAATATGTCATATTGGCTCTCATGGAGATCAGTTTTGGAGAGAAGAAATATCAAACAAATTACAGGCATTCCAACCATCACAAAATAAAAAAAAAAAGTACTGTGTGCAATGGAAGCATAAAGTTAGAGGACCTAATCTGGTCTTGCGTGAGAAGAGACAGAGAATCCTTTCATGAAGAAATGATATTTCAGCAAAGGCAACTACTTCAAACCCATTTACTCCAAATAAACTTGGTGGTACTAAACTGAACTATATAGAACAGAAAACATATCCACCTTGTAGAGAAACCAGTAAACTTGTCTTTATTATCATAGACTACTAATAATTTAGACTACGGGCCACTTTGATTTTCTGTAGTTCCCATCAACTTGGTGGCATAGAAGCCTTACAGTATTTTGTCGTAAGTAAAATTTCAGTTGACTAAAATAACTAACGGTACTATTTATTTTTGCAAAAATGCAAATGTAGCTATTTATCACTAGCTTTTGCAGAATGCATAAAGAAGATGCTAAATTTTTTTTCATAAATGCCTTGAGAAAGCAGTAGGTTAACAAGATAGTAAAACAGAAATACCTTTAGAAGACAGATGGTTTGGATGATTTTTATTTCTTTTTCCTGTGTTTCTAACCTAGAAGGAGAGACACATGCATGCACACACAGAATTAAACATCAAATAAAAAGACATTCATCATCAAGTATGTCAAAAAGTATTCACCTAATTTCTGTTAGGTAGAAAAACATGTATGCCACTTATACAATTATCACAGGCAAAGGACATAGTAAATCAATTCTTGGACAATGGTGATAATAACTAAATTTTATGAAGTGTCAAAGAATGTTTTAAGTAAATCATTACTCACTTTGCCTGTGAAATAGTGCTACATACTTTACCTGCCTAATACAAGCACTGCCTAAGAAGCAAGATTAAACGTTAAAAAATTCTGAGTAATTCATTATTGTTTTATAAGAGAGGAACAAAGTTATGGTAGGAAGAAGCTCATTCCTCCCAAGCTATTTGTCTCTTTTTTAACAAAAATCTCTTCTACCAAGTGTCAGATTCTCCTGTTTCATGACATTTAAATGCTATAAGAATTTGTTCACTTTATTTGTAATCTTCTCATTTAAACACTCTAGCAATGACCCATGACCTCCTCCTTCTCAAAGAATTTCATGGTAATACTTATTTTTAGAAATTGAAGTAAATAATAGTTTTTATCTGATAATTTTACAAATCATGCTGCAAAATCTCCCATGCAATATGAATTGCTATAATTTGTAGTAAAACTGAGCCTTAGTCTTCACAAACTCTTTTCATAGAACACATATTTCTAATCAAAGAGTTCCAAATGATAAACTTAGTATTTTCATTACCTTTTTCTCTGATAACTCTTCATCATCATCAGTTTTTCTTTTTGAATTTCTTTTTAACTGTTGAGACTTTTTCTTGGAAACATGTGGTTTACCAGGCATCTTGATCTAAATAGAAATAGAATTTAAAAAAAACCAAAAACTCTAAAGATGAAAAGAACATAGAAACATGCTAAAGCTTTGTACAATGTTTTGTTAAAAAACTCCTTATAAATGTTCCAAATTCTCATTGAATAAAAACCACAACAAAAGTTTGGGGAAAGTATTAGATATTTTTTAATAGTGTGTATTTTTTAAGCATTTAAACATATTTTAAAACAAGTAACTTCGGCTCTCATCAGAATAAGGGTATGTAATTAGGATATCTAATTCAATTTCATTCCTAGAAATTATCTCTATTTTTATGGCTTAAAAAAACCATTTAAAAATGCATTTGCATCTCTTACTTTAAACTCCCTCATTATAATATTATCTCTGTTTAAATAGAAGAAAATAGAAATATAAAGTGGTCACAGGCAATGTCAGTTTGAGCAGGAAAATCCAGATATTCTTGTTTTATGTAATGGATTTACCATCACTCAATATTTCCCAAAGATAGAAGGAGATAATTTTAGGATTATATCATCACAATCCATATTGTGGAAATTCACACAACAGTCTGCCTCTCCTCAGGATTTATGCTACAACCCTATCTGTATACTAACCACTCTGTCCTCCCACAAATTACAAAACAGACATGAGAATGCGGGTGGGAATGTCAATGACAAAATTTAGAATAACTCCTTTACCTTCTTTATTACCAAACTCATTTCTGATAAAAGCAATAAAGGAATGGGTTAATTATTCTTGCGTTAGACCACAAGAAGTAGACAGATTAGGAGTTAGGTACAATATATAAGGAAATAATATATATACACATCTATGTGTGTGTAGATATATTTTCAACACATATCAGTTATGATTCTTTTTCTAAACTTTTAAAATTATAACAATTGTATTAATATAGCTTAAATATATATATGCAGATTTAGAGACAGACAATAAAGGAATACTCTGTATAAATCTATTCCCTCCAATTTTAAAAACTTTAAGCTTTCTTTTTTTCAGTGAGACTGGAAAGAATTAACTGAGGGATCACAAACTACATTTAGCAACTACATGTCAGATCAATTATAAAAGGGAATAAAAGCCAAAATATCACTTTGCCTTTTTTTTTTTTTTTTTTTGAGACAGAGTCTCACTTTGTCGCCCTCGGTAGGGTGCCGTGGCGTCACAGTTCACAGCAACCTCCAACTCGTGGGCTTAAACAGTTCTCTTGCCTCAGCCTCCGAAGTAGCTGGGACTCCAGGCGTCAGCCACAACGCCCGACTATTTTTTGTTGCGATTCTCATTGCTGTTTTAGCTGGCTGGGGCGGGTTCCAACCCGCGTTTGAACCTGCCACCCTGGGGCGGGCGCCCTACCCGCTGAACCACAGGCGCCACCCACTTTACCTTGCTTTTGAACAATGTGGCATGTACCTTACTTTCCATCCAGTCTCTATCCTCTGTTCCATTACTTAAATGCCTAATTCCCTCAGCTTCACATCCATGCCCTTATACTTCCCCTACTTACAATCCATCCACATGAGAGTTTCACGTGTGGATCCCCCTTGGAAAGGCCGATATGTGCAGCAGGTTGTTCACTGAACAAGAGAATCCAGATGAAGGGGCAAGTAACAGTTGAGATTTTAGATTAAAAATGGTGACGTACTCTTTCTCATTACTGTTTAAGGACAGATCGGGTCTATGTCCCCTTGTCATGAATCTTGGCAGACTCTGCAGCTGTGTGAGCAGCAGAACGTGTGTGGTAAAACTGAGTCTGTTCAAGTGTAGTGGGTTGGAAACAGAGATGGGAAGCTTCACTTTCCTCTTGTTTGGAACCCAGCCACCACCATGTGAAGAAGGCCAACTGGAAAGGAACTGAAACCCCAGCCAAAAATCCTAGCTGAGTTTCTAGTGAACAGTCAGCACCAACTTGCCAGCCTGGAGCATGTACCGGAGCCAATGTATTGCAGCCCACACTACATGGACAAGACATGAGCCAGCCCGGCTAAGTTCCTCCCCATACCAAATTTTGTAACAAAATAATTGATCAAAAAACCCAATAGCGTAACATCCAAGCTCTTTACCATTTACAGTCCTAGTTTAACCCTGCCTCGCTTTTCATACTTCTCTCCTACTGCCGCTCCCTGATCAAACCTCTGTCGCTAGTGAGATGAGATGACCTACTGAGCACGCTTTGAATAACTCGGCCTCCCAGGAACAGACTGTACCCTCCGCTGGAGCTGCTCTCTCCCGTCTCCGCCTACCGTCTCAGAGGAGCCACCTTCTCCCCAAAGCCTTCCTAACCACTCCATTTCTCTTTACAAGTCTGCAGACTTTGTAGTCTCTCTCATTTAGCACTTATTTATGGTTGGTTTTAATGAGTTTTTCTTGATAACTTTTCTTAATAACACATAATTTAGTGCTGCTCCAAATCTGGTTCACAAACTGGCATAATCCTTTCATGTAGAGAAATTCAGAGCAATCATTTAGAAAATTTTAAAGCAATTTGACAGAGGAATTTGATGTATGTTGAATCTAACATAAAGTAACTGGCCTTGTCTTTTGACTCTCATTTTGAGGTAATTAAGATTAAAATAAATACTTCATTTTTGAGAGCATTTTCAGGTTTGCAGTAAAATTGAGCAGAAAAAGTATAGTTTCCATATATTCCCTATACACCCCCATCTGCTGCAAACTATACATTGATGTGTAACTGATGTAACTAAATTGATACATCACATCAACCAAGATTTATTGTTTACTTTAGGGTTCACTCCTGGGGTTGTAGTGAACCCTATGAGTCTATGAGTGATTCACTTTTGACTAATAATTTATTTTTAATTGCATTTTATAAAAGTATCAGTTATAAAGGATTAGAAATACAGAAAATTGGTCCCAGAAATAAAAAATGAAATAACAGTGGTCCCTTAATTACAGTTTGAGCAGTACTATCTTTGTTGGTATCTTGTGATACTTGTGGCAATAGACCACAGGGCAAACAGTTTCCCAACTGCAGTACTACCAACATTTTGGATAGGATAATCTTTTGCTGTAGGAGGTTGTCCTATGCACTGTTTAGCAGCATTCCTGGTGTCCACCCACCACTTGCCAGAATCCCTCCAACTCTCAAACTCAAGTAGTATCAACCAAAACTGTCTCCAGACAATGTCAAATGTCAGCTGGGCAAAAGTGCCCCAGGTTGAGAACCACTGTCAAAATGGTTAAGAGCAGTACAGAGGTGAGTATAATTACCCAAACTCTAAGTCCTGGCTCTGCCACTTATTTACCTGTATATCCTTGGGCAAGCAAATGAACTCAGTTTCCCTGCTGGTAAAATAGGTTAATAAAAGTACCAATATCAAAGGCATTTGTAAAGTTAAAATGATTTAGTATAGTATATATAAAGTACCTAGAATAGTACTAGGGAGATAGCAAGAATTCAATAAACAAAAGACAACATTTCTATCACTGTTGAGCTAGTTACAGTGTACATAAAAATGAATAAAATTTTGTTCTGTTCTTAGATCCACAGGAAACCACAGCCTAGTGGCAGTGGGTGGCTAGAGACAGATATGAAAACAATTACTATATAGTATAAAGTGATAAATGCTATAAAAGAGACTAGGGAATAACTTCCTCGAATTGATATGTACATTTGTGTGGGAATGTACAGACACACCTTGTTTTATTCTGCTGCACTTTACTGTGCTTCAGAGCTTTTGTATATTTTACAAAGTGAAGGTTTATGGCAACCCTGGGTGGAGCAACCCTATCCATGCCATTTTTCCAACAGCATATGCTGTGTCTCTGTATCACATTTTGATAATTCTTCCAATATTTTCAACTTTTAAATTTTTGTTGTATCTTATGGTGATCTGTGAGCAGTGATCTTTCATGTTATTATTGCCATCATTTTAGGGAGCCACAAACCACACCCATTTAAGATGGCAAACATAATCAGTAAATGTGTTCTGACTGCTTCATCAACCAATTGTTCCTCCTGTCTCCCACTCCTCAGTCTCCCTATTCCTCAAACACAACAATATTGAAATTAGGCCAATTAATAACTCTACAATGTCCTCTAAGTGTTCAAGTCAAAGGGCGCCATGCGTTTCACTTTAAACCAAAAGTTGGAAATGATTAAGTTCAGTGAGAAAGGCATGTTGAAATAGAGACACAGGTGCCACACAGTCAAGTTATGAATGCAAACAAAAAGCTCTTGAAGGAAATTTGAAGTGCTGCTCCAGTAACACATGAATGATAAGAAAGCCAAATAGCCCTATTCCTGGTATGGAGGAAGTCTGGTCCGTATAGAAGATCAAATAAGCAATGACATGACCTTAGTCAAAGCCTAATTCACAAGGTCCTCACTCTATCTGTTTAATTTATGAAGGCTGAGAGAGGTGAGGAAGCTGCAAAAGAGAAGTTTGAAGTTAGCAGAGGCTGGTCCATGAGGTTTAAGCAAAGAAGCCAAATCTGTAATATAAAAACAAAGGGTGAATCCTGAGTGAAGAGCTCAAATACAACCTGGAGTTTACCTAACAATCACCAACAATCACAATGCATATATCTGAAATAAAAGGTGAAGCAGCAAGTGCTAATGTAGAAGCTCTACCAAGTTATCTGCAAGATCTAGCTAACATCACTGAAGGTGGCTAAACTAAAAGATTTTCAGTGCAGACAAAACAGCCTTCTCCTGGAAGAAGATGCCAGCTAGGACTTTCATAGCTAGGGAGAAGTCAGTGCCTGGCTTCTAAGCTTCAAAAGACAGACTGACTCTCTTATCAGGGTAATTCAGCTGGTGACTTTAAGTTGAAGCCAATGTTCACTAATCCTTTTGAAAATCCTAGGACCCTTAATTCTACTAAATCTACTAACAGTAATTTGTATTCCATAAATGGAACAACAGAGCCTGTGTAACAATCTGTTTATAGCATAGTTTACTGACTATTTTAAGCCCACTATTGAGACTGAGTGCTCAGAAAAACGATTCCTTTCAAAATATTACTGCTTATTGACAAGGCATCTGATCACTGAAGAGCAGAAATGGAGATGCACAAGGAGATGGTTGCTGTTTTCATGCCTGCTAACACAATATCTATTCTGTAGTCCATGAAGTACAGAGTCATTTTAACTTCCAAGTCTTATTACTTAATCCATTTATAAGGCTATTCCTATGCTAGAAAGGGATTCCTCTGATGGATCTGGGCAAAGTAAATTGAAAACCTGTGAAAAAGATATGCTATCTACATGCCATTAAGAACATCTGTGATTCACGGTAAAAGGTTAAAGGAATTTGGTAGAAATTAACTCCAACCTTTGTGGATGACTTTGAGGAGTTCAAGACTTCAATGGAGGAAGTGCAGATGTGGTCGATAAAACAAGAGAACTCTTACAGAATTAGAAATAGAGTCTGAAGATGTGACTGAATTGCTATTATCTCATGGTAAAACTTGAGTAGATGCAGAGCTGCTTATGGATGAGCAAAGAAAGTGGTTTCTTAAGACGGAATATACTCTGGCAAAGATGCTGCAAACATTGTTGAAATGATGACAAAGGATTTGAAGTATTCCATAATCCTATTTAATGTTTGATAAAGCAGAAGGGTTGAAAGGATTGACTCTAACTTTGAAAGAAGTTCCGTGGGTAAAACGTTATCATTGCATGCTAAGATATTTTGTGAAACTATTAAGAGATGCATCAAATTCATTAAAGTCTTATTTTAAGAAATTGCCACACCCACCCGAACCTTAGCAAACACCACCCTTAATCAGCAGGCATCAAAATGGAAGAAAGACCCTCCACCAGCAAAATGATTATTACTCACTGAAGGTTCAGATGATCGTCAGCATTTTTTAGCAATAATGCTAAATATTTAAAAATTAAGTAATATTGTAAAATTAATAATACTAAATATTTTGACATTATGTATAATGTTTTTGTTAAGCAATGCTACTGTACACTTAGTAGACTATAGTATAGCGTGAACACTTTTACATGCATTGGGAGATGAAAATTGTGTGACTCATATTATTGCAATATTCACTTTATTGCAGTAGTCTGGAACCAGTCCCATATCATCAGTGAGGTATGCTTGCACAGTACTCAGGAAAAAGTATTATATGAATTGCTTTGAATATTTAGCTAGAAGGAAGGGAGATGAAGTATTCAAGAGAAAACAGCAAAACCTAGAGGGCAGGAAAGCTCAAAACAACTGGGTCTTCTGTGACAGGAAAAGTTAAGCGATGCCTTTAATCAGTATGGGAGGGGTGGAAAGAAATAAGGCTGGAAGGGTAGTTAGTGGTTATATTGTCTACACAGTAAGAAAGAGGGAGGCATCTTAGGTTATCCTTACCAGCTGTTGAAACTCGTGGAAATCAAGTATCTCAATCTAGACCTCTCGCATAATGTCTAGCAAAACACAGAGAAAGACACTAATCTGTAAGGCTGCACTTCGCTCTACCACTGACTGCGAGAGATTCAGAGATAGGGTCACGGATGACAGGGAAGTAGGGAGGAACACAGAGCGGCTGCACTCCCTCCAAGCCAATCAAATGCCTCAGTCTGCGACCCCAAATGGCACAGCTGCAAAGACATTCTGCATCTCCCATTGAAAAACCCCTGACGCTCCCCAAATACAAACAGCAGAGTTTGCCACAAATGCGCTGACCACAGAGCTCATCCCCTGACCTGGACCCCCAGCAGGTGACGCGATTTCAGACTCACCTCTAATTTCTCAGGAATCCTTCCGCGAGCCACGCTCTGGGTAATTCGCGCCCAAACAATCGAACGCAGAGGAGACCCGGAAGTGGGCGGGAAGAGAGCGGAAACGGCTGTGATGGGAGGCGGGCCATCTGGCCACACCCCTACGTCATCAGGAACGCGCCAGAGCGCGATTAGATTGGCTGGAGGGAGGGCGGTGTCGGCCTACGCCCCCTGACTCCTCCGGCCCGAGGTGCGTCTGCGCGCTGTGTGTGTGTGTATGTGTGTGTGTGTGTGTGTGTGCGCGCGCGTGTGTGCTTGTGTGTGTGTGTATTGAGGGGAAGTCCAAGTGTGAGGGTTTCTGTCTCTTGAGGCGGTGAGCGTGTAAGTCCAGCCGCCCTCTCCCACGCGGAGTCCAAAACAAGCCAACCAGTGAGTAGCACTGTGCACTTTTACATCCTTTTTGGGGGGAGAGAGCGGTTCTCTTTCTCCTCTACCCTTGTCTTCTGAGCTTCTGTCCTTTACCTCCACCCTGTCCTTTTCTTCATTATTTACTTTCCTACTTTGACGAGATCCCACTCTTCTCTACCTACTCCTTAGATTTAGATTCTCACCTCGACCAACCTGTCATTTTTGGGGCGAGGTCCTTGGAAATGCGGAGGTGCTGCAGGAACGAAGGTGCTTTTAACACCTCTGAGGCCACACGCTACCTTCTCTGTCTACCTAGGCGCTCCGAAATGTTCTCGTGGGCCAAGATCACTTATTGTGAGGTTCCAGAGGGGTGCTCTCGCTCCTTGGCTTCCTCCCTTCTAGGATTTGGGTCACGTTATCGTTAGGATTTTTGTATTAATAAAAGTTGCAGGACTAAAAATGATTTTCTGTATGCAAGTAAGGTTAAGGGCAAGAAATGAAATAGGAAAGACAGATCTAAATTGGTATGAAAGCGTTAATAATTATTATAATTTGTTGTTAGTTTTGTCTAGAAAGTGGTCTTTCAGAAGGTCGAATCCCTGGATAATGTATATATGGACAGTTTAAAACCACTTGATAATTTTCTCCCGATGTGATATTTGTCTTTAATTATTTACTTATGGTAATGTCAAATATAATTTGCATACCCTGTGACTCCATCTCTAACCCAAATTGGTTGGACTTTGGAGGTGGAAGCCTTGAAATATTAATGTCGATCCACATATCAGCCTTCAAAACTTGAACATTTGGTGCAGAATTTTTTTGTCTGAAGGATAGTTTTGGAGGTGTGAAACTGCACTTCATCAATTCTGTTTGACACATTTTAATCATCAGTAACTTATGTTTGCTTTGTATGTGCTTCTTTGAATATGTGAAGCCTCTCTTGATGGGTCTTCTGCAACAATACAGACCTCTTATTGCCACCAGTAGGATGGTCTATTTCCAGCCTCCATCAATTTACATGTGATTTTCAGGAAGACATTGTTATATAGGGTTCTTTCCTATCATTTGCCTAATTTAGGAAAGCCCCACAAGTATTTTTTGTGAAATGGGTGTGATATTTCCTGTCAAAAATTTAGTCTACGGTAGTTTTCAAATTGCCTTTTATCCTAGTACTGAAAACAATTCAGTTGTAACTTCATTATTTTTCTCAATCGTCCTTTAAACTAGTGAATATAGTGGATGGCTTGCCAAAAAATGGAGGAAAGAGACTCCATAGATTTAGTAGAATAAAAATTATGATAGCTTTTAAAAAATGATGAGAGCTGTTTTTGTGGTATTTCCATTTAGACTTTGTTATGTGCACTTTTACCTTGATGAACATACTGCATTTGCAATTATGTAAACTGAGTCACTTTATACTTTTTGAGCCTATCTTCTTTCTTGAAGAAATTATGCATAACATCATAGTTTTAGCTTTATATTTATGTATAATAAACTTAATAGAAAGTGCACATAACCTAATTATACAGTTTTTTAAATTTCAGGTTACTATGGGGGTACGTACAATTAGGTTATGAAAATTCCTTTTGTAAGGTTAAAGTCTGCATTGTAGTTGTGTCCTTCATCCGGAATTGTGCCATAGATCTGTGCAGTGTCCCCATTGTGTGGGAATTTACCTGTCTCCTTCCCCCAACCCCATTTGAATTTAATTTGGTTTTTCTTTCATGTGAGCCCATATTTGTTAATCTAGTTTCAAATTGAAACTGAGTATATGTGATGCTTATTTTTTCATTGTGATACTTTATTAAGGAGAATATTCTCCAAAGCTGTCTAGGTTGTTACAAAAGATACAAAATCATCTTTTTTTAAATAGATGAATAGTATCCCATGGTATACATAAACCACAATTTATTAATCTATTCGCATGTTGAAGGGAAGTTAGATTGTTTCTACATCTCTGGGATTATGAATTGTGCTGCTATAAACATTTAGGTGCAAATGACCTTATGGCAAACTGACTCTTTTTCTTTTGGGTAGATACCTAGTAATGGGATTGCAGGATCTAATGCTAGGTCTACTCTAAGTTCTTTGTGGACCATCCATACTTTTTTCTATAGAGTCTGAACTAGATTGCATTCCCACCAACAGTGGAGGAGGGTTCCCTTCTCTTCAAACTCAGGTTAGCATCTATTCCTTTAGGACCTTGTGATGTGGACCATTCTCACTAGTGTTAGGTGATATCTCAAAGTGGTTTTGATTTGCATTTCTCTGATGATTAGGGACATTGAGCATTTTTTCATGAGTTTGTTGGTCAGTTGTCCTCATGTGAAAGTTTCTGTTCGTGTCTTTTACTAGTTGTATTGTTTGATAAATTTCCACAAACAGAATACATCTGTGTAACTGGCATTCAGATCAGGACAATCACCCCCTAAAGTGCCCTTCTTGCTGCCTTTGGGTACTAACCACTATAAACTACTCTTTTAACTTCTGATATTAAAGATTAGTTTTGCTTGTTTTCTAAGCATATTTCAATAGCCATGTAAAATCCTGTCATTTATATATGCTTTAATTTACATATTTTTATGTTATTAGACATTTATGATTTTTCTGAGGTTTCTTTATTACAACTAAAACTGTAGGGAACATCTACTTTATGTATTGTTACTATAGCTTTCCCAGGAGTGATGTTCCTCAGAAGAATGGCATAAACATTTCTAAGACTTTTTTTATTACATTGGCAATTTGCTTTCCAAAGTAGTTAAAAAAGTTAATACTGCCACCAGTGATTTATGTGTCTTACTTTATGACCCCACAATAAGTGTTGAGTGTTCACTTCCTTTAAATTGGTAGGTAAGAAATGGTATGGAAAACAGAATTTTAAACTCACTTTTCCTGTTGTCTTAGCTAGTATAAAACAACATGGTATGATGAATATATTTATAAAATTTTTATCCCAATATCTTTTAAAACAATAGGCTCCGTATGGCTAAGCTATATGACTCTGACAAGTATTTAGTAATTCAAGTAAACAATTAACTGCTCCTCTGGGTAGGATTTTGATCAAGCCAGTTTATATCTTTATTTCTCTGAACCTTAACTGCTACATTTGTAAATGGGGAAGTTGAATCCTATTATAAGACTGCTAGTTGTCAGACATATACAGCTCTAATGTTGGACCAATTTATAGACGAACAGAGAAGTCAATTACTGAAGAGTCCATTTAGCTCACCCTGTGGGTTTAGTAATGGGTTGTGAGCATGTTAAATGCAAGGACTTTGAAACAGTCTGCCCAGGTTCAAATGTTGGCTCTTTGTGCCTCAGTTTCCTAATCTTTAAAATAGGGATAATGTTAGTACCTACTACGTGGTGACACCCGAACCCAAATGTTTATTGCAGCACAATTCACAATTGCAAAGATGTTGAAGTAACCTAAGGGCCCATGAATTCATGAGTTGATTAAGAAAATGTGGTATATATACACCATGGAGTACTACTCAGCCATGAAATGGAATTAAATAATGTCCTTTGCAGCAACTTGGATGGAATTGGAGATCATTACTTTCAGTCAGGCATCCTCAAACTATGGCCCGTGGGCCACACAGTCCACCTAGGACATTTATCTGCCCACCAGGTGTTTTTGCCACAGCAGTGGCCTGTCCTGCTTAGATGCTGACTCGTCCCAGGGCCCACAGTCTGGCCCTCCAGTCTGAGGGACAGTGAACTGGCCCCCTGTTTAAAAAGTTTGAGGACCCCTGAATAGTGAAGTATCTCAGGAATGGAAAGGCAAATACCACATGTCCTTTATAATAACTGAGAGCTAATGGATGGGTACAGACACAAAGAGATATAAAGAACATAGGACAGGGAAGCTGTGGTGTACCGTGAGCACTACTGAGGTGATGGGCATACTAAAAGCCCCAACTTAATCATTATGGACACAAAGGTGTCCATGCAAGAAAAACATTTGTGCCTATTTAATATTGTGAAATTATAAAAATTTAAAACATGACAACAAAAAATTAAAATTGCTTTTCAATGTGAAGTCTTTATAGCTTTTTCTGTGCCTGGCACATAGAAACTATGCATTTTGGTGATAATACCTGAATTAGCAAACAAGAACGTTCTAGGTATAAGGAAGAGCAAGAGAAAATCCACAGAACTTGAATAAACACAGCGAATGCTGGTAATCTAGTATTTCTAGAACACAAAGTGTGTAGAGAAGACCCGGTAGAGATGAGTCTGAGAGGTAAGCAGAGACCAGGTTATGAATGCCTGTGTCTTGTTTACCTCTTTTTTTTCCTCCATTACCGACATAATGCCTATCATAAAGTGGTATTTACTATAAGCAAAAGCATTTTGAATGAAAAAGTTCAATTTAATTGGAAGGCTATGCTATATTTTTCACATGATGCAGAACCTTTGAAACATTTTGTGGAAAGTGTGACATGGATTTTTATAGATTTGCCTTGGTATTATTGTGTAGAAAGGGTTCGAGTGGGCTGAGATTGTAGTATCTAAAAGGCTGCTGAGGAAGGAGACTAGAGTTAGAATGCTGGTCGTAATTATGGGGAAGAGAGTCCAAAGTTATCAACTATCAGGTGAAGGAAAGGAAAGAGATGAAATCATACTAATATACCTTCTTCCTTCTCTTTTCCTTTGTTATGAAAGTTACAGAGAGAGTGCCCATTTTTTCTCCCTCTTGAAATATATATATACTGTGTTTCTTTTTCTAGGTCAGTTCTTACTCCTGTTGGGTGTTTCCATGCTCTACCATGTTGAGGGCTAAGAATCGGCTTTTTTTATTTTTCCCTCATTACCTGAAGAAGGTAAAAGAATCATCGGGCTCCAGGCTTATATGGCAACGCCTTCTACACCAGCAACAACCACTTCACCCGGAATGGGCTGCCCTGGCTAAAAAGCAGCTGAAAGGCAAAAATCCAGAAGACCTAATATGGCGCACCCCAGAAGGGATCTCTATAAAGCCCTTATACTCCAGGAGGGATACTAAGGACTTACCTGAAGAACTTCCAGGAGTAAAGCCATTCACACGGGGACCATATCCCACTATGTACACCTTTAGGCCCTGGACCATACGCCAGTATGCTGGCTTCAGTACTGTGGAAGAGAGCAATAAGTTCTATAAAGACAATATTAAAGGTGAGATTTTAATGTAATATAAGATACATACTTCTAATCTTGGCTTTCTCTGAGGGGAGGCTAGTTAATCTCCGTATAGATGATACTCCCTTTATAATTTTTGAGTTAAAGACTATACTCTGAAGAAATTGATGTTTTCAACTTCTGTGGTCAAAAAGATAAGTGAGTCAGAATAAAGTGCTAAATTCTTGAAAGTGAACAACACGTGCACATCATTTAAAAGGAATTAAGTGAGGTTAAGTTGCATGAAGAAAAAAGACATTGGCTTTGCTTCTGAAAAACGTAACATTGTCAGGATAGGTATTGGAAGTGAAGATCATTTAAATGGTACTCAAGGAAAGTAATAAACAAACGATAACATGGTACAGATATGTTCAGTGCAGTCTGGCACTCATTCTCTAAAAGTTATCTTAATTATTATCTCTTCTCTCTGATCTATAATAAAATCATATTGTTTGAATGCTAAACTTGAAGATTTATGTTTGTGTTACCCTTGGAGGGTATACTTACATTTAGTATAGATTATTTTAGTTATTTAAAATTTTTTTATGACTTTCATAATTCTGTTTCTCAGAATATTTGAATAACCAAGACATCTTGTTAGGACCATATTAAAGAACAGAAAAAAGTAAGTAGGCATACTTACGAATACTGTTGACTATGTATGAATAGCCAGATCTTTTCATGAATTTTAGAAATATTTCAATAAAAAACTGTTACAATAAAACACAACTTGGTACATAAGAATCAAATATTCAGATAAAGACGAGATGAGTGAGATATTGGATTCCTTTCATTCCTTTCTGTGGTGAGGTCAGGAACTCAATTTGCATTTTAGCACATAGGAAACAGCTGACTTTTGGGAAGTGAAATATCTTTCAATTTGTCTTGACACGTGGGGGCATAAAAATATTTGAGATAAAAGTATGCTATGCTGTGATGAATTAACATTTTTAGTAATGTTAAAGTAAATCAGCTTACTTTGATCCCAGACTCTTTAATCTTAGATTATTTTTCTCCACATGTTTAGCTGGTCAGCAGGGATTATCTGTTGCCTTTGATCTGGCAACACATCGTGGCTATGATTCAGACAACCCTCGAGTTCGTGGTGATGTTGGAATGGCTGGAGTTGCTATTGACACTGTGGAAGATACCAAAATTCTTTTTGATGGAATTCCTTTAGAAAAAATGTCAGTTTCCATGACCATGAATGGAGCAGTTATTCCAGTTCTTGCAAATTTTATAGTAACTGGAGAAGAACAAGGCGTACCTAAAGAGAAACTTACTGGTACCATCCAAAATGATATACTAAAGGAGTTTATGGTCAGAAATACGTATATTTTTCCTCCAGAACCATCCATGAAAATTATTGCTGACATCTTCCAATATACAGCAAAGGTATACTTTGTAGTTATTATAGGTTTTGCTGTAGTTCCTTGAATGTAGGAATTTTTACAACATGTTTGAATTTGGTAACTGAATCTCAGTAATAATTATAGTATGAAGTCAGGGTGCTTTGTTATTAGTTTTTTATTTTTACTGTATTAATTGTATGATTTGTCATTATCATAACCTAGGCAGTAGGCCATTAAGATATTTTCTTTATTGTTAAAACTTAAATCTCTAGTATTTATTAGAATCAGGGAGATCTCATAATTTATATTTTCTTATTTCCCTCCAGAGTTTAGGTGCAGTTGTGAAGTAGACACAGGTGTCAGACAGATGAGGATAAGAATGTCAGCTTTATTTCTGCTAAAAGCTGGATTAGAAGATAACGCTCATATCTGCAACCTCAGTGAGGTTTCTCATATTCACCCCTGAATGTTACTCATCTTCCTCAATCAGAGTGGTGGGGAAAGATGGCTCTGATAGTGTTCGTATAGTAGCAGCTGTCTCTCCACCACATTTTCCTTCTTCCTCCTATTTCTTCTTTTTTTTTTTTTTTTTTGAGCAATTCACACATATTTTCACCCATTATTCACACTTTGCTTTTTGCTAGTGATGGTCTCCTTCCACTTACCTACCTTAAAGCTAGACCATTATTTCATGGCAAAGGGAAATCTCTTCTCCATCAAAACTTTTTTATCTCTTTCACCCCTTTTATTTACTATCATCTCAGAACTCTAGCAAACATTGCCTGTGCTCCTCATTTGATATTTAGCCTCTACACTTTGCAATTTTATCTCTTCTCATATATTCCTTCTGCCCAATATTGCAGATTTCATTGCATAACGTTGTATACTTCAGTCGACTTTTTAGATTTAAAGAACATATACACTGAAAGATTGTGGTTAGCAGCAAATGCTAAACAAACATATACAAATAGTAGTGGCTTAAAGTCAATAGGAGTCAATTCCCTCTCGTGTAAAAGATGTCAGAAGGTAGGCTGTCAGGGGCTTACTTTGACAGAAGCTCCAGAGACATGGGATTCCAGGCTCCTTTTATTTTTCTTCTCTTTTGTTGTTAGTGTGCTGGCTCATGGTTAAGGGAGGGGCATGGGGAGGAAAGGTGTGGTAAGGAGAGACAGGTTTAGCTCCTTTTATTTACAGTGAACTTCGAGAAAGAGCACACCAAACTCCCACCTATATCAGTGGACACACATAGCAGTAAGAGATTGGAAATGTAGTCCTTGTACCTTGGCACTCTGAATTTATTCAGAGTTCATCTGATACATGAGAGTGGTAGAGAATGGTTATTTGAGTAGATAGTAGCAGACTGTGCTGTTGTACTCTTGCTGGGGTATATTTCACCTTGTGGGACATCTTAACATCACCCACAAGTATAAATTGCTTTATGTAATCTTCATGTAAGTTGATAAAAGGCCAATTTCAGATACTGGTCAATAATATCACATTGTAGTACTTTGTAAACTGTGAACTTTCTTTATTTTTAAAAAAATTTAATTGCAACAAAATACACATAACATGAAATTACCATCTTAATTTTTAAGTGTACAATTCAGTGGCACTAACTACATTGACATTAGCAAGCAACCATCACCACCATTCATCTCCAGAACTTTTTCATCCTCCCCAAGTGAAACTGAATCCATGAAGCACTGATTCCCCATATCCTCTCTAGCCCCTGGCAATCACATTCTATTTTCATTCTCTGAATTTGACTAGGGTCCTCAAATAAGTAGAATCTTACAGTATTTGTCTTTTTTTGGACTGGCTTATTTTACTTAGTGTAACATCCTCAGAGTTCACCCATGTTGTAAGCATGTGTCAGAATTACTTTTTAAGATTGAATAATATTCTTATATTTGGTTATTTTTATTATTCTTAAATTTTTCTACTTTTCTCCATAGAGAAATCCCTGCTTGTGTCCTTGCTTCTTATTTATAAACTCTAAATATTCTCAGGTAGTCTCTTAACTCCATGGGGTTCAATTTCTATTGCTTTTGTTGTGGAACATATTTTAAAGACTTCTAGTTCGTTGTAAATAAAATATTCGCAAATATAAACTATATGTATTTTAGATATGTGGCATACACATATATATCTTATATGGTATAGATATGGCTTATGTGTTCATACCATGTATGGTATATGTATATATGGTGTAATTAATTCATACCATACATTAACAACATCAACTGACCTATTTTGAGTACTTGCTGTGTCCTGCATAATACATGTACTGAATGATTTTAAAGAGTCATTTCATTTCATCCTATAATTTCAATGAGGAAGGTACAATTATTATTTCTGTTTCGTAGATTAGGAGCTAAAAACTGAGAAATTTGCCTACAGTCTCATAGCTAGGTAAATGATACAGCTAGAATTTTGAGAACTCTCACCCTAGAAGTCTATGCTCTTGACTACTTTACTTAGTTTCTATGATTTAGTTTTGTGATTTGGGTTCACGCCTGGGAACAATAAAAAGTTTTGATTCTATGGGGTATCTGTGGTAGGTATTCTACCTAACATGAAAATAACTGGGGGACTGGTTGAATGCACTTATCTTAATGGTTGTAGTTGAAAGAACCTGGGTAGGATATGGTTAGCATTAAATGTTACAGTAAGTCAGATTCAGTTTTTAATTTTTAAGCCCAGCATTTTATCCCATTTTGTTTCAATATATTTAAAACTAAGGGTAAAGTCATTTTCTTTTTTATCCTTTATGTACTTATTCATTTTTCGTACCTTCATTCAAATAAGAAAATTAATAACTAGTAAACAATATTAAATGTACACATCTTTAGCAGATCAAACCATGATTGTAAGTCCAAATAAACTCTAAATATTGACTCTTATGAGGTCAAAGTCCTTGATTTGGAATTAAAAATGTCTTCATGTAGTTCTCAGGCCAAAGTTTGCATTTCCAATCTCAGCTAATTCAAAGTCTAAACTTTTAGAAAGAGAGTACACATTCTTTTTCCACTAGAAAAATAAAATAGATATAGTCCTGAATGACAAGGCTTCATGAACCAACCATTAAAATTAGAGAATGAATTAAATACAACAAATAAACATTAAATATCTTCATTAACATTATAAACTTCCAAGTATATTTGAGCTGAAGATGATTTTAAAATAATATTTGCTTTTAGAAAATGTTTAATAGAAATTTTTAATATTTGTATTTATTCACTGTTACAATTTTTATTTTATGTAGCACATGCCAAAATTTAATTCGATTTCAATCAGTGGATACCATATGCAGGAAGCAGGGGCTGATGCCATTCTGGAACTGGCCTACACTATAGCAGATGGATTGGAGTACACTAGAACAGGACTCCAGGCTGGCCTGACAATTGATGAATTTGCACCACGGTGAGTAAATTAAACTTAGTTATTGTTTCAACATTAAGAAAGTATATGGGGCCATTTTATGAGTGTACAGCAAATTATATTAGTAAAATGAAACTGTAAATATAAGTGTTAGTTTAGATTTAGATTTTCTTAGGTATTATCTGAGTATATAAGAGAATAAGCTAATGTAATTTATAAGAGAAAATCAGAATTAAAATTGGTCATTCTTTTTTGTAAATTGGAGGAATATTTTGGCTAACCTATTCTGAGAACACAATTCACTTGCACATTTTAACAAATTATATTTCTTTTAATTTTTCCATCTTAAAATATAGAATTCATATTGTATGTTTCATGTATGTAATAGAAATGTTTTGGGATGCCCAGTGCTTTTGAAAATATTTTATGACAGCTTGTTAGTAAGGTTATATGACAAATGTAGAAAAACGTAAATAAATTTAAATGTAAATGAATTTAAATGTAAATTACTTTATGAAAGTATGTCAATTTTGGGGTGAAAAAAATCAATGGTTCAGTCATTTACTAAGCAATCATTTACAAAGCTTTGCTCTGGGCCAAGCAGGGTAGGGATTCTGAAGCCTCAGGGCCACATGGGGTTTCCCAGGTCCCCATGTACTGCCCTCCATGGAATCCAAATTTCATGGAACAAATGCCTTTTAAAGTACTTGTTCTGTAAAATTTGAGTTCAGTCAAAAGGCCATAGTCGATGATCCAGAATTCCCCATGGGGCCAAAAGGCCACAGGTTCCCCTTTCCATGATTATGTGAAGACTTTATTTGCCCCTTTTACTTTCATTTTCCCAAGAGTTTATGGAGGCGTTTTCTAGAAGCTGCTTAATATGTGATGTTGCAACAGGTTGCAGAAACAGACTGCAACTCTCTTCTCTTCTACATAGTAAAAGAGATGTTGTTAAACAAAAACCAATAACTTTATTATAATTTTTTCAGTTTAGAGAAGCATATTTTTCAAAAGAATTATTAGTTATGTTAACATGGTATAAGTTTATTTTTATTTTTAAATGAACTAGTAAGTAAAATATGGACAAATATTTTCAAATAAAGAAACATTCTTTGGGCTCTTCAGGAATTTTAAGAGAGAAAAAGGATCCTGAGATCAAAATATTTTGAGAACGGTGGGGACGTGGTAGCTCACATCTGTAATCCTGGCACTCTGAAAGGCTGAAGCAGGTAGATTGCCTGAGCTCCCAAGTTCAAGACTGCTCTGAGTAAGAGTGAGACCTCACCTCTAAAAAAAAAATAACTGGAAGTTGTGGCAGCCACCTGAAGTCCCAGCTACTCGGGAGGCTGAGGCCCAAGAGTTTGAGGTTGTTGTGAGCTGTGATGTCCCAGCACTTTACCCAGAGCGACGAAGTGAGACTCTGTATGAATAAATAAATAAATAAATAAAACAGAATATTTGAGAACTATCTGTGGTGTTAAGAACTTCTTCCAAGTATATATCAGGAATTTTTTTTTTTAAGTTTTACTCTATTATTGTTGACCTTGTTTTAATTCACAACCTTTGTGCTCTCAGAGACAGGCACACTGAAATGTGTAAATCAGCTATAGAATAGAAGATAGAAGGGAATAGTGGAAGTTGGGGACAAATTGGAAAAATATATGCCTAAACCCATACACGGTCATTCTTTATAAAACACAAAAACTAAAACTTTCTTGCTATCTAAACAAAACAATTTTGTCATTTTATTCTCTTTATATGCGACCCCTGCTTTACATATTACATATTCCTAAAATATTTTACTTTTTAGAAATTGAATCTTTATTTAATTAAGGACACAAGAGGAGATTCTTTCCTAAAGAAAACCATTTGCCAAGGGAATAATTCTTACCTAAAACAAATAATCACAGCTGCTTTTTTCACATGCATAATTTTAATATGTTAGATTTAAAGCTGTATAAATATTGATTTTAATTCAGATTAACTTGTTTGTGATTAAAATCTGGACATTGATTTTCTAGTGTATGCTACAATTAGTTTTATTTTCTGTTCTGTCTTGTTAAAATTCTGGACTTAACATTACTATTTTAGGTTGTCTTTCTTCTGGGGAATTGGGATGAACTTCTATATGGAAATAGCAAAGATGAGAGCTGGAAGAAGACTCTGGGCTCACTTAATAGAGAAAATGTTTCAGCCTAAAAACTCTAAATCTCTTCTTCTAAGAGCACATTGTCAGACTTCAGGATGGTCACTTACTGAGCAGGTCTGTATATGATTTAAAATACAGAATTTTAATAAAGTCATATATTTTCTTCTCAGCCACATGGCATAGTCAGGAAAGAGATGGAAGAAGCTATCTGCTAATATTTCACCATCATAAACATCCTTAAGCATAATGCATGCTTAGGTTTGTATTTAAACCTACTCTGATAAATAGGATTGGTTCCCTCTAGTGGTTAACAGTGTAAAATCATTTTACATTTGGGTGTCGTGCTGTTTTACTTTTTTAAAAGTAAACAAAATTTGATGATGAGGAAGAAGTAAACATTATAATTTACTGGATACTCAGATAATTGTAAGAGTTAAATCGTTAACATAGAACTGTCTAATGAAAATGTTATTTTCCATGTACACATATATTTTATTTTTTTAATTTATATGTTTAAATAAGCAGACACACAGGCTGCTTAAATGGTATTATCAAAAATCATATGGTGATGATCTTGTTTTTTCACATGTTCTACATATTAAATTATTTGACATATTTTAAAATTCTATGTGTAAACTTAAATTGCTTTTATACTTTAAAAACGAATAACAGCTAATATTCTCCATAGGAAATATAATTTTAGGTTCTTGTAATTGGAGAAATAGAGATTTTAAGGGTTAGAAGGAACATAGTAATTGTTTTTGTTTTAGGCTGCTTATTGTTACAGCTAAGGAAACTGAAGTTCACAGAGGTTCAGTGACTTGCCCAAATTATAATTAGAAACGCAATAAACCAGAACTCGAATTTCCTATCATTGTTCATCTGTTTTATTTACCATTTATTGAGTGACTGTTTTGTTTACATTATTGTGATGTGGATACTTTCAGGTATACAAAATACTTAGGAGATAGTGAATTGTTAGATGAAGGATTATATAATTAAAGTAGAAAAGTATACATTTTTGACATACTTATAGAAAAGTATTTAGGTAGTATACATGTCAACACAATAACCGAGGATTATAAGAGACAATGTTTTTTTTTTTTTTTTTTTTTTTTGAGACAGAGCCTCAAGCTGTCCCCCTGGGTAGAGTGCCGTGGCATTACAGCTCACTGCAACCTCTAACTCCTGGGCTCAAGCGAGTCTCCTGCCTCCGCCTCCCAAGTAGCTGGGACCACAGGCGCCCGCCACAACGCCTGGCTATTTTTTGGTTGCAGCCGTCATTGTTGTTTTGGCGGGTCCGGGCTGGGGATTCGAACCCGCCACCTTAGGTGTACGTGGCTGGCGCCTTAGCCGGTTGAGCTATAGGCGCTGAGCCAAGAGACAATGTTTTAATGCCTAACCACAGAGTAAACACTTTGGCTTTCAATTCTCTTTCCAGCTTGTTCACTGATTTGTCTAAGTTTATTTGATATTCTGAGTCTAGTGCGTACACTGGCATAGAAGATACGCAGTAGTTGCTGTTTAATCGTGTTGCCTTTTATAGCTGCAATATCTATCACCAGCTTCCTTATTTTGTTTTTTGTTAACAAATGTTTTAGGATCCCTATAATAACATTGTCCGTACTGCAATAGAAGCAATGGCAGCAGTATTTGGAGGGACTCAGTCATTGCACACAAATTCTTTTGATGAAGCTTTGGGTTTGCCTACTGTGAAAAGTGCTCGAATTGCCAGGAACACACAAATCATCATTCAGGAAGAATCTGGGATTCCTAAAGTGGCTGATCCTTGGGGAGGGTCATATATGATGGAATCACTCACAAATGATGTTTATGATGCTGCCCTGAAGGTTAGTATGTCTGCATTGCAACTTTGCTTTCAAGACTTACAGGTTTATAAAGATTTATAGATTTCATAAATAAGGATTTATAAATTGTTGAATTTTTAAATCAAATCATTTCTCAATTTATATCAAGATTTATGAAAGAGAAAAGGAGAAATTTAAATTTGATTTTATAGTTTTCAAGACAATATAGAAATACGTTTGTATTTTTCTATTCAAATAGTTAAAAAGACAACTAGTATATTTAATAGCTTTATTAAAACAGCAGGTTTTTGTCTTCTACTTTTTTCCCCCTGTTTTCTGGAGTAAGTTCCATACTTCTTTGTCTATTTTTGTTTTTATCTGCAGGGTTTAAAGTCTCATGCGTATACCGTTTCTTATAATTACATCAGTGTTGGTCATTAGACCTTGGACATTATCTATTGCTTTCCCAATGCGGTAGTTTAGATTTTAGCTGATTCATGCCCCTCTGTCCCTTGTCCCTTACTGCCAATATAATCATTTCTCAATATAATCCTTCCTGAAGTCCTCTAATGCTTTAATTTGTTTTAAATTGTTCTTAGTTCTGCCGACCACTGCTGTTCTTTGACTTCTCTTTGCCATTATCCTGGGACTTTTTCACTTCTCTGTTGAATGCTAAATCCTGAATCCTATGTCCATCTCTTTGCTATTAGGAAGCACATCTCATAGCAACCTACTAGAAAAAACGGTGCAGCAGAGACAAATTATTTGAAACTTTGCTGTTTGAAAATGTCTTTATTCTATTCTTGTACTTGATTGACTGAAGAGGTTTGAAATTATTTCCATTCAGGAATTCATCAGCAAGTTATGTAAGCATTGAGATCTGTTTTTTATTCTAGATTTTTATTCTAGCTTTTAATACTTCTGATCAGAAATTTGATCCCATTCTCATTCTAGATCTTTTTTTCTGAAAGCATCAGGGTCTCTTCTGTATTTTTTGTGTAAATGTATAAGTTGGTATGTTTATTTTTTCCTACATTGTATAGAACCTTTGACGAGTCTTTTTTGTATTATCCCATTTTTTATAGCTCTGGGAAATTTTCTTGCATTATTTCTTTGACAATATCTTTCTACCATTTTTTTATGGCTTCTCTTTCTAGAACTCCTAGTAATAAGCTGTGGGAACTCCTTAAATAATGTACTGAAGTTCTGTTCTTTTTCTATAATTCATCTCTTTGCATTTTTGTTCTGTTATCTTGGAGATTTGTGAACTCTGTGCTTCTGCTAAGTTTTTAACGTTCATATGTCATAATTTTATTTTTCAAGATCTCATTTTTGTTTTCTAATTTTTACCTTTGTATGTCATATATGTTTCATTAATGTAGACTCTCTTTTTCTCAGGATATTAGTGATAATTTTAAAATTTTCTTCTGTATCCTATATTTTCTCTCTCTTTTTTTGTTTTCTTTTTGTCTTTAGTCTTATTGTGCAGAATGTAGGCTTTTATTTCATTGAGACAACTTTCCCTTGCCTTTCTCCATATTTAGTGTTTGATATTTCATTGCTTCTTGAGTTCATTTTCTGTAGACAGTAAATTTTGGTTCTACTGACAGAATGGGATGTGGGTAGTTACAAACTCTCGAGTACTTTCCCTCTTTTTAGCTTCCCATCTTACCCTTGTCTTCTGTAACATGGAATACAGATTATTCTTTAGGGAAAAGCCAGTTTGACTTTGATCCTTTCCACTGGATCATATATCATTTCACCATCTATTTTTGCTTTTATGTGAACCTGTGATTAAAGATTTAAATGTTTTCTGGTTTTGTTAAAGATAAAGTAATATCATTTCTTTGCTGCTATTTTAAAAGTAAATAGTATTTTGAAATATACATATTCTTTAAGAGGCTTTATTTATGTAATTATGAAAACTTTACTGATATAGCTAAAAATAAAGACTAGAGAATTGATGTTATCTTTATTTTTCTCCTAAGACTTGAGTGAGTGATTTTATTTTCCAGAATATACTTGTTAATTGTAGATTATGTTTTTAAATACTTTCAACACACAAATTCTAATTAATACCTTTGGTGTTTATTTAGTTATTTTCTTATGAAATGTTAAATTTTTATGAAATATTAACATTTAGTTTATAATTTTATTAATATTAGTAATTACATAATGCTCATAACAAATCAATTTTCTATATTTTCTTTTAGTTTTATTAATGTTTTTCTTATTAGCTAATTAATGAAATAGAAGAAATGGGTGGAATGGCCAAAGCTGTAGCTGAGGGAATACCTAAACTTCGAATTGAAGAATGTGCTGCCCGAAGACAAGCTAGAATAGATTCTGGTAAGATCAAGTGAAAAAGGTTATATAGGAAACTAGAATTTAAAAAAAATGTTAATTTCTCTTTGAGGATAACATATATAGTTAATATAACAAAAATGAAAAGATGAAAGTTGTATAAAAATTTGTTCATATTTATGTTTACATATGTATGTATTTGTATTTTAGCATGAATGGATACATACAGGCAAGCTTATGTACAAAGTGTGTAGAAATATAACCATTATATATATGTACATGTTTGTGGGTGGCTATTACCAACATTTTGAAGGTGACATTATTAATGCTCATTGTACTCTGCATTGGAGTATTCGTTAATTCAGTCAATAAATACTTTTAGTCTATTGTGTTTGAGGCATTTGCTGTGTCTGGGCATACCACTGCGAACAGGGCATTCATGGTTTCTGTGCCCATCAAGCTTACATTCTAGTAAAAGAGAGAAAAATGAACAAGTAAGCAAATAAAATATTACAGATTGTGGTAAGTGCCATGAAGGAAGGAAGAAGGAATATGACCTGGGATAGGAGTGGTGGGATATTTTTACATAAGACTATTAATCTGATAGTTTGAAGCAAAATAATATATTCTTTATTGTGTAGGGAAGTGTCTTTTTAATTTTGATTTATTGCTTATACATTTTCAAGTATTTATCTCTTTTTAAAAAGCAGTTGGCTATAAAACAAGTCAAGAACATATTAGAAAAGCAACTGAGTATTAATTCTCTACCTTATAAATATTAAATGGTAACTTCTGTGATTATTTTTATTTTGTAGTATTAGAAGAAAATTTATCAGAAACTCATGAAAAGCGTACAGTTAGAAGAATAATAAAAGTCCTGAAATATACCTGTTCTTTCCTCTCACACCACCATCCCAGATTAGAATTTGCTGATCTATATTGACGTTTCATTAAAAGTTAAAAATACTATTTGAAAATATTAAATGTATAAGGAAAATACATAACAATTGGAGTATTGCTATTAGGCTGTTATTTATGAATATAATGTTTATATTTCCTCCTTTGGGAAAACAGGTTCTGAAGTAATTGTTGGAGTAAATAAGTACCAGTTGGAAAAAGAAGATTCTGTAGAAGTTCTGGCAATTGATAATACTTCAGTGCGCAACAAGCAGATTGAAAAACTTCAGAAGGTATTCATGTTTTTTATTTTTTAGTATTTTCTGTGTTCTGGATTCTAGCTAAGCTGCTAAATTGTCCTGCTTAATCCTTAAAATAACCACATGACATAAGTATTATTTTTCATCATTTCAAATATAAGGAAACTAAAGATAAGACATAGAGAAACTTGCTTGGGGTATTAATAATTAGATAACCAGCACTCAGTCTGGGTCTGTTGACAACAAAAACTCATATTTTAAACCATGATATCTGTGTCTGTGAAACTTATTTGTTGTTATTAAAAACCACACTACCACTATAGTACCTTCTGCAAGTTTTAGATTAAAACTAAGGCTTAATGATTGTGTAATTCAACCAAATTTAAAAACAGAATAAAGTGTAGTGTTAGTCTTTGAACCCAGGGCTTCTCGTCACTTCTTTCCTCTAGACCTTAGTGCTTCGTACTACTATGAAAGAATTACTTGCTTTCTGACTTTTTAGATTTAACTGTATTTGGTAGTGTTTTAGTAAGCTACAATTTATAATGAACTTTATTTTAATGGAAACTAGAATACTGTATTTCCTTTTTTTTTCAATTTCTCATGGAGATGAACCAAAGAATATGAAATACTGAAATAGATAAACCATATTAATTGTCACTGTTTTAACATATGCATTTCTGTTGTGTAAAGATACCTTGGCATCCCAATCTTTGGCTTTTATAATTACTAGTGTTTCCAAGACAGGAAATTTAAAAATTCAATGGTTATTTTTTTGTCACTTTTGCTGTGATTCTTTAAGATATGACTGTTTTTTAAATCTATTAGACTTTTTCCAGTTAGGTGGAATGCATAGCTATCATCTTCAATTTTTTTTTTCCCATTAGAATTAATGGTAGATGTTTAGTGATATTATTTTCTCTTTTACCCTCAATATAATCAAGAATAATAATGATTCATCTATTACACGTTTTCATTTTTTAAAAGGATCTATTTAGTATGTAGCATTTTATTTCTGTTAATCATAAAAGTCTCAGTATTATATTTGGAAATCCCTTTTCTCCTCAGTTATGCTTTAGATTCTTATTAATTCTATACCCTCAGTTTTTCTCAAACTGAACAAACTCAACAGTAATTTTATATTAAATTGTTTTTCTACAACCCTAGCCCCAGTTAGTTATAGGACTTCATGAATTTTTGTAATTTGTTGTTCATGTAATTATAGGAAACAACCTAATCTGACTAGTTACTTTAGTAAACCAGAAAAGGTATACTTTTCAGTCTTTGCTCAAATGTCACCTTATCTAACAAGCTTAGAGTGATCCACATCTGTAATAAAACCCCACTCTGCTGCCCCAATCAATTCTTTGTTTGTTTTTCGTTTTTTGTTGAATTATATATTTATTTATATGTGTGTGTATTGTTTCTTTCTCTCACTCTCTAATAAAATGTAAAGTTCATGATGGGATAAACTTTGCTTTGTTTATTGCTATTTTCCCATCACTAGAAAAATGCTGGCATTGGTAGGTGCTTAATTAATATTCATCATCTATTGTAATCTAATTGGAAAATGTTTGCAAGTGATAATTATCATTGAGTTGAATAGCTTGCAATTCTGTGTATTCAGGAATAATCCTGTCTTAAAACATAATTGCTAAACATATACATTATGAATTGAATTGTTAAGCCATATAGGTATTATTCTGCCTATCAATATAAATCATATTTGCAGAAGCTCTTGTTTTCAGAAATCATAACTCTCTGTATTCTTGTTTTTACTGTTACTTTTATAAAATTAAAATGTATTGATTACCTGTACTGTGCCAGAAATTACCTTAGTTACATTTTCTCATTTAATCCTTATAAGAACCATTTTCTTTTATCTATCCCATCTGACAGAAATTAATATGAAGAGATGTTCAATCATGTTTTTATGCCCACTGAACTAGCAAATGGGAAACTGGAACTTGAACTCAAGTATGACTCCTGTGCCCAGGCTCTTAACTCCATACTGGTGTCTTTCCAACTTTTTTGACCATGATTCATAGTCAGAAATGCATTTTACCTACATGCCTACCTAAACACATACACAAATTTATAAGTATGTGAACACATAACAAATAAAAATTTCACAGAACTACTTATACAGTATACAGTGCACTTAGTTTCTGAATTATTTCAATTTTTTTAAAAGTGCTGATTACAGTCCACTAATTCTACCTCACCACCCACTACTGGATTAGGAGTTACAATTAAGAAACACCACAATATATTGCATTGTCTCCCCTTAGATTAGAAATTTAGATTACCAAGAAATGTAGACAACTGTATAAGGTAAAGAAAAACGGGCATTTTCACAGAGAATTTGGAGCTGGGTTTTTCCTTCCTATGATATAGTTTGCCCCTGTATCTGTGAGTTCTATGTCAGTAGATTTAACCAACCATGGGTTGAAATATTTGGGAAAAAAAATGAATGATTGCTTCTGTATTGAACATTTACAGACTTTCTATCTTAGTATTGTTTCTTAAACAATACAGTATAACAAATATTTACATTTTATTGGGTATCATAAGTAATCTAGGACAGTTTAAAGTATTTGGGAGGCTGTGTATAGGTCTATAGAAGTACTAATATGCTGTGTTCTATAAGGGCCTTGGACACTTTGGTATCTGTGAGGGGTCCTGGGACCAATTCCGTAACAGATACTGAGGGATAACTATGTGAATCTTCTGTCCTACCTCTGCTTATAGATACCGTATGATTTTAGTAACATCTTGAGCAGTATCATATTTTAGACTCTTACTCTTATCTGGTACAACTTGTATAAAAAGTAGATTTAGATAACTTAGTTTGGCGCTTGTTGGCAGAGTGGGGTAGAGTTAGGACCTAGGGAGAAAGTTTTGGCCATGCTTTTCAGTGTCTTTCTCTCAGTCTCACCTTCTAGCTTTCATTCTCTTGGGATTATTTTTAAATACAAAGAGCAGCAATATACATACATATTATACCTATATGTGTGTATATATGCATATATATATATGTATATATATATATATATGTGTGTGTAAAGAAAACTTAAAATGTAACCAAAATATTTTCTACGTTTTCATCTTTGTTGTTTTCTTATTTTTTCCCTTTAGTGTTCCTTTAAAATACTTCATGTCAAAGACCCACATGTTTCGATGCCTTCCAGCTTTAGAAAAGCCTGAGCAGTGTGTGCTGCTTGGGGAGTCACCGCAGTTATCACCCTGCTCGTTTCTTGTTTGTCAGGTTGTACACCGAGTTTAGTGTTATTTCAGGAAATCTTGAGTGAATGAATGAAATTCCTAGGTTATGTATTATTCTCTTCATTTTACATTTTATCCCTATTATTATTATTTCTTTCTTTCTTTTTTTTTTTTTGGTAAGGCAAACATGAAATAAAGAGAAAGATAGGTTTACGGAGCAAGTTAGATTTGTCATAGACAGTGAAAAGGCCCACTTGTCATGACAAAAAGGGCGACCCTCTTATTTTTGAAGATACAATTATGGAACAGTTTCCATATGGTACATACCAGAGTCTAAGCTCTTGATTTTTGTTATATTCTCTGTTTACATAAATTATTCCTTTCCTCAACTTTTCCATTAGATCAAATCCAGCAGGGATGAAGCGTTGGCAGAACGGTGTCTTGCTGCACTGACCAAATGTGCTGCCAGTGGAGATGGGAACATCCTGGCTCTGGCTGTGGATGCAGCTCGGGCGAGGTAAGGATATGTAAGTTTGGAGATTTCCAAAGACGAAATGTTGACCAGTTTAGCTTTTCAGAATATAGTTAAATAAAAGGTTGGTCCTATAACTACATGAGCCCAAAAGAAAATAATGGTGACCATAATATATTTAATTATCTTTTAAAAATATCTCTATTTAAAACATTCATATATTTTGAATGAAACCTATTCATGCTTGTGTATTTCACTGTGACTCCGGACATTTAAAGCTGTTGTGATGAATCCATTTTGCTGATTTGTAGGCTAAAATTTATGTACTTTCAGGTATGCTATGTGTCATCAGGCCTGTGTCCACCATCTCAATACTTTACCAGTTAATGCTTTTGTATGGGGCAAATTAATGTGAGAATTGATAGGAAAAACTTATGATATGATATTATTTTTGAATTATTTTTAACTGTGAAGCAACCAGAAGAGCAACCAACTTCC